AAAAAAAAAAAACAATTACTCTGATAGAGAATTCTTTGGACCATCTAATCACCAAAGCATGCATTTTGTTGTACTTGTTAGAGCGAGAGATTGAGCTTGGTGTCCTATAAAATTAAATGGAGAGAGAGAGAGAGACCATGATGTTCCTTACCAAAAGTTTCCCATATGCTTTGTCCTCTTCCATGTTCATTTGCTGCTCCTTCATACTGGAAAGCATAAACAAATGCGACCGGAGAAGGGTTTTCTGTTATCTCATTCCACATCCAACCCTTCATTGTTTTTCCATTTTAATGCTGTTCTTATTTTCTTGAATTAATAGACAGAGCATACCTGGTAAGCTACTGATCCGGAACCAAAAAGGAAACTAGCGGGAAAACTGCTGCGATTGAATTGCATTAAGTAACTTGGCTTTGTAGCATGGGTGCAAGTAGCCAAAATTAATGCGAACAGAACAGGTAGGTAGAAGAGAAAAGAACCTCCACTTCCAATCGGGCCCTGGCTCATCCTCGCAGTTGCCATCGGTCAAGCACTCCCGACCTCCAATTTGTACACGACTTATAGGCACTGCAAGCCGAGCTAGTCTTTAATTTTAAATTACTGAATTATTCTTAAAATATGAATGGCCACATTCTCCACGTTAACTTGAATATCAACACTTTGAAAGGCAATGACAAACATGGACGGACCTACCTTAAGGTGAGTGTTGTCACACCACATGGTATCGCTCAGTTGCTAAAAATTTTATTTTATATATTATTTATTAGAGTTTTAGATAATTAATGATATTAATGAATTTATTTATATTTTTTTAATTTTATAAGGGGTGAAATAAAAAATTTTGAGTCAAGGTAAATTTATCAAAATGTAATTTATATATTAATATTTAAATATTACATGAAAATATAATTTTTTTATAATTTAAAATTTTATTTAAAAAGTCAAAACTTAAACTACTCACCCTCTCCAAAACTTCAAGTTCTATTCCTTAAACTTGCGGTGATACTTCCTCTTCTTGGTTTAGGCTTTAATTGTAAATAATTTTCAACTTAAATTAAGTTTTTAAATATTTTATTTAAATATTTTTTGATTAATTTGATATTTTAGGACTCAAACAAAAGTTAACTAATAGAAAATAGTATTACATGTCAAATAATATTTTAAAATTATGAGTTTTTTATTTATTTTGTAAATATATTGCACGATTATTTGATTTTTGTATTTACCTTATATTGTTTGTAGATGCTTATGCTTATATTTAGTTTTGATCAATGAATGGAAATTTGTCCAACTGTTAGTTGTTGAACTTAATAATTTGTTATGCAAGATCATATTTTAGTTTATACTAATGAAAAATAAATAATGATTTTTAATAGATTTATGGATAAATAAGTCATGAAAGGCTATTTTAGAATATAAAAAATTGTCTCACAAGACTTAGGTCCTAGACAACAATAACAAAATTCTATTAATAATGGTATTTAACAATCTTCTAAGTAAAATCGTGTTAAATTTGATATAAGTACTCTTTCGACAAATTTTAGATTAAGAAAAAAATTTAATTATTATTATCATTTTAATTATGATACCACTCAAAAAATTTTTTGAGTTCATCATAAACCACTACCAATAGGCAATTTGGATGTATTTTATTATCACATTTGCATTCCTAATGAATGCAAATTGTCTACCCACTTATTATGCCCAATTCAACTCCATATAGCTTTAAGTTTTGAAATCAACTCCGTATAGCTTTAAGTTTTGAAAATAAAGTTTAGATAAGCTTATATATCATGGGTTCACGCTCTTAACCCAAAAGCATACTTTATGGATGGTGAAAAACTTATATTTATATATACAAGATATATTTTATTTCTTATTGATGTGAGATACGTGACATAAGTACCTATGGACCTGGTTGACTGATGGGTGGCAAGCTGACAAAAGTAAAGTAGGTTTTTTAAAAAAAAATTATAATTTTGTAATTTTTAAAATTAATGAAAGATAAAATTATCTTTTTATTAGTGATACGTTATCAAATTAATGAAGTTGATTAACGGTTAGACTTATGTGTCTAACAGAAATATTCTTTGTGAGCGAAATATTCATTTTAAAAACTAATATACTTGTGTAAAATTATGATTAAAAGTTGAGAGATGATGTGTATTTTACTCTTAAAAGTTTATGTGTTGTGTTATCGAAGCTGGATTTTATAAATCACACATTGTAAAGAGGCAAGACAACCATTTTAAATTTACCTAAATTAGATCATCTTAAATTTGTCTCTATAGAGATACTTTAGAGGTTTTGAATTGAAATTTTAAAATTTATGAAATAAAAAATATTACTTATCATTATATAATCAAACATCATCATGTACAGAAAAAAATCATGTTTAAATATCAGATATTGCCCTGCATCTTATTGATCAGAATGAGATCATTAGTTGTTTAATGAGCTTCCTTCCCCTTGGTAAGCCTGATATTGCTTTATGTTGCTTGAGTAAAAAAGACGATAAAAAAAAAATTTTAGCGGCTGTAATGTACTTACTTGATACTGACTAGATTGGTGCATTCCTGGTTGACATTTCCAAATTTTGGTGTTTCGATAAAGCCATAATTACCTTGGTCGTGTTTTTGTAGGCACCAACATTCACCTGCTTTCATCACAGCTGGAAACAGGTTAGAGCTCCCCGTTTCCTTCTCTTTAAAAGGCACTTGAACTGCTACAATTCTGATTCCATCATTTTCAGAAAGTCTGTAAGCTCCCTCCCCGCATATTGTCGTCTGTTTAATCAAATTACATCTCAAAGGTATTTTGTCCTGGAAGGTCAAGGCTAAGTACTAACTGCACCACATCTAACAGTTGCCCAGAAAAAACACGTTGCAGTCTAGATTCAACCTACGATCTCTTGAATCATGACATGCGTTGCTCTAGCGCCACTTGTTTAAGAGATATATAGGCTTTCCTTTTAGTTAGTTTCTCACATCAAAATTTTGTCCATTACTTACTGTCTATTTCGCATTGCACTTAACACCTATCAAGAAAAAAGCCTGCTGCACATGAGCATACCAACCAAAAACTCTAAATTTTTTCTAAGTTGTAAAAAGGCAGGTCGGAAAAGAGAAAAAGGACTAAAGAATAAATAATTTAATCTATTATGAATAAAAATTAAGTTGCAAACCTCTACGGAGCAATTGTTCATCTTGGAATTGCAGTTTATATGGGAACTCCAAAATCCCAATAACCACTGTTACTTCCAACTGTTTGCTCAGTTAACCAAATTATCAGTCAAAAATCAACTCGAAATACAATTAACCGCCTCAAATAACCATGAGAATCCCACACCCTGCACTAACACAATGAATCCCAGACCCTTTTAAAAGGGTAACACAAGAGACTCATCAGGATAACAAATGCCAAGCACTCATCTAAAAGGGTAACATGAATCCAAGACCTTTTTAACACAACAAAACAAGCACAGCTTACCCTGATGCCCTCCCTTTCAACCTGTCAATATAGTAAATGAATATATTTTTCCTTTCAATAGGAATAAAATATTATAACAGCTAGTGAATTTTTACAAGAAAGTCTCAGGTATCCATGTATTTCTCCCGATCTTGAGCATTACCAGGTACTTGAGCTATGTTCCTTATGAAGCAAACTGTGTGATTCTAAGCGCCACAGAAAAGCAAAGTTTGCTCCATAAATATGACAAGCTGGGGCAGATTGTCAATGAAAATTATGATAAATAGAGAGCAACAACTCTTCGAAGTTCTTCTTTGCAACCATGTTCCTCTGTGCTTCCTGGGAAAGACTGACAGTACCAACTAATCTACAATCTCCCCTTCCTCCAATTCCTCAGCAAAAAAAACTCCCCTGGAATTTGAAAGGTCTCTTCTGCGTTCTGTTTCTGATTGCTTAGCAAATTCACCTTCCAAATCAAGAAAGTCATCCGGATTAATTTCAGCAATGAGGTCAGAATATGCATCTATTAGGTCTTGATCAAAATCAAACTCCATGTCCTGAAAAACTCCAGAGTCCTTGGTCTGGGAGCTGGAATGCACCCTGTTGCCAGCTCCAGCTTTCTCAGATTTGTTTTCATGAGGGATTTGATGCATTGGACCTGAAATCACATGCTTCATAAGATCAAAGACCTGAGGGTCTAAAGAACTATCATCTTCTTCTATTTTCTCCTCTTTGAAGGTAACACCTTTCTGAATTTCATTATCAGCACTGCCAGAATCTTTGACCTCTGGCCTATGAGTGACAGAGTGATTCTCCCTAACAACTTCAAATTCATAGTGCTCTGAAGGAAGAAAGACATGAATTACAGGGTACTCCAGAATAACTGTATCAGCTAATTGTTGCCGTATAGGGGCCTTCATGTCCAACTCCCGAAAAAGCGACTTGGGCCCCTACAATAATCAATGGATTTTTCAATATCCAAAATAAATTATTCATCACCCACATGCTCTGACTGTGTGCATCCATGTTTATATAACTCAGAAGACAGAAAAGAAAAAGAATGAAACCCAAAGGCCAAAACAACCTTAGGATATTTTCGGATAAAAAACTTGAGGCAGTCCAGCTGCTCCTGGCAGAATTGCCTTAGAGGATGATTCCATGGGCCAGGTTTGAGATGGCTCTCAATTACTGAGCAGAGGGTTGTATCTTCATGTACTCTGCAACAACAATAATGTGTCAATTCTCCAAGGTTGCTCAAGAAGATTGCCCAAGAGAAAGATTGTTGTGGGGCGGGTGTAGCAGGGTTGTTTGACACAATAGTTTTGTCAAGAAAATCAGGAGTGTTAGGGCAGCTCACCCATGGTCAAACAAAACAACATCTGTTGAGTGAAACCGCCACTCAATTGTCCATGAAATAAACTTCTTCCTGGAATGAAAATGCACAAGAAAAGAAATGCTTAGCTTGCAAGAAAGCAGTTACGAAGCATTAGTTTTCCAGTCTAAAATTAAAAGACAGAGCAAACTTAAAAGGAGAGATTTGTTTGAAAATTAATTTGACATGTTAATAACTGCAAACCAACAAGCGTTGTTTGCAGGACAATGGCACGAACAGCAGAAGTGCACATAACTCAGATGTCGTGTGGGGATGAGCCAATGCAGACTCACAGACCACATCACAATACTCAACTCATTTAAAGTTATCAACCATCATTTGAGTTTGGTTTCGGTAAGCTTGTTATAAATGAAGTCAAACTACAGAAATTGAAAATCCAGCATCATTTAGAAGAAACAAAAACGATCCAATTGCGTCTAGGAGGCCATCCAACAACATACATAGGTAAAGCAATTTATTTATGACTGACCTGTAACCAACTTATAATATTAGCAGGTTTTCAAAATTCAACGGAAAAAGAAAGAAGAAGAAGAAGAAGGCAGAACCTCTGATGAAATCGAGTTTGATTAGTTTCCCTCTTAGACATTCCAGCAGGGAGAAACAAAAGCTTAGTTCTGCGAGAGGCAGCGGCAGCGCGGAGGGTTCGCAGGACAAATGGTAGCTTAAAGTGAGGAAAATAGTTACTACATAATTTGGATCTTGTTCTTCGAGCAGATTCAGCAACCCTCTTTGTTTCCTCCAGCAAATTATAATCTAGGACCAAAACATACATACATACATATTTATAAAGAGTAAGTAAGATAGAATGGGACAATTCTATTTGCATGAATAAAAAGAAAAGGAAGAAGAAGAAGAAGAGAGTAGCAGCAACCGGAGAGGAGGAGATTATCGTCGAATTGAGAGAGACGAACGAAGCGAGTGTTGTTCCTCCTGCCGTTGCAGCCAGTGCGGCGCTTGTGAGCATTGACGCAAGGGAGGCTGCATGTACGGAGGTAGCAACCTGGGCACTTATACTTTGATGCCTTGTTTTCGCACTCTTCACAAACCCCTTTTGTTGAACTTTTTGAACTTTCTTCTTCCTCCATTTTTTTTTGCTTTTCTTCTCGGAAGGGATTCACGCCTGCGCTGGCTAGGGTTTTAATTTATGAAATACTATTTATACTTTGTTATTAAATCCTCATGAGCTGCTTGCCCGATTGTTTTCACGCAGTTTCTCTTTGTTTACCCTTTTGTGAAACGCTGCGTTTTCCACCCCAAACAACAAAATAATCACCGATAAGATAAGATCTTCCTAACAGACCCTTTTTTTTTTTTTTAAGTTATTACATTAGGTAATATTTCCTTCAACTATATTCATCACATTGCTTTTAAATTATTAAATGTAATACAAAGATATTATTATAAGTATTGATAACTTAACTAAGTTTTAAGAAAGTTTTTAAAAAACACTGATTAGGAAAACACTTATTTATATTAACAACATCATTATGATTGTGTTTCCATCCAAATTATTCAAATTACACAAAATACAATGCAATTGAGGAACACAACAATACGTTCTTAAGAAGATATCTAACGTAACGGGTTATTCAAAAGTCACAAAATTACTTGTAAGTTTATATATATATATAAGAGATAATACTCTAGCGGTTAGAATTTGAAAGTTTTGGTTTGAATTGTCGAATAAACGGGAAAACTTTTATGAGGTGCAAAAAGGTTATTTCTTATTTCTAACTTATGATCATGTATAAAACAAATGCAATGCATTACTAATACACAATATTTTTATTTTTATGTGTTTATTTATTTTATTTAACTCATTATTAGCATACACACATCACACTTAATATATAAATTGAGTATATGAGTTTGTATCACGTCACTTTGTTATTATCTATCTATATCTATATAATATAACATATATGAAAGATAATGTTATAAAAATAAATATTTTTACTCATCATATTTTTAAATTATCATTTCTCATTTTTTAAAAAAATTATATAAATAATATTTACAATTGTACCCAATAGTTGTTAAATGAGATAAAGTCGTATTCTATTTTTAATATTTTTATTGTAAATAAGACTTATCTTATTTGTAAATAAGAATTCTAATTGTCTTAGATTACATTTAATTATTTTTTTAATTATAATAATATTAATTAATTTATAAATCAATATTACAAAATTTAAATTAGATATTCTTCAACAGTTATATTTTAAAAATATTTATATTTACATATACTTATTTATTAAAACAATTATTCACGTGTAATATATATGACAATAAATATTAATACATTTAAAAAGAGAAAAATGAATTTGAGTAAGTAATATTCAACAAAGTAATTAATTTTTACTGTTTATGTCTATTTTGTCAGTTAAAAGATCCTTATCACCCAGTACTTTTTCTCTCTCAATTGTAGGTTAAATGTTACTATAACTAAAAATTTACAAAAGAAAACAAATTTTAATTATTAAATTACATTGTTTTGAGGAATAATTATTCAATTACGTGTATGACAATACATGTGTGTGTATACATATAAGCTGCTAAGAATGAGGAGAGAGGATTCCTTTGGCGGACAATATATGAAATACGAAGTATATACTCAAAATATAATGTATATACATACCAATACGTATTCCTAATTAATTATTTTATTTATTATTAAGATAAAATATTTTTTAAGAATAAAGCAACGCGCAAAGACAAAAAGGTCTCAAAATCAGATCTTTAAGCAAAAGCAAAAGCAAAACCTCACCTTCTCTTGTCTTCTCTTATCGTTGTTCAATTCTCAATCATCTGTTTCTGTCAAGTAGTGGAGTATCTTTTCTTGATTAGCCTGCTGTGCTCGGCTTGATCTAACCAGGTGCATTCCATATATCTTCTTCTTTTTATTAAGATCGATTTGATAATTCTTGTTTCTTTTTAGATTCATTAATTTGATTTTCACACCTAGCTGCCGTGTTTCTGTTTCGCTATCCACTCATCGCTGCAGAAACAAAACTACGGAAACCAATTAAAAATAATCATTGCAGTGATTTTTGGTTCTGGATGGGAATTGAGATCCTGGTTGCGAGTTGCTTGTTTTGTTCTACTCCAGCATTTAAGTGTATTTAGATCTGCTGTTATTGTATTGCTAATGCTAGATTGATTCCATTTGCAGTCGTAAAACATAAATCATAGTAGTAATTCATGAATCATAGGTTTCATAGGTTGTGAAATGTTCATTTTCTTCTTAAATTCCAGCATCATCGTCATCATCTTCCTATTTGTTTTATTCATTTCCCAAATTTTTAATACTAGTACAAGTTTTCAGCTGGTCCTGTCCTGTTTTATATGCCCCTGGGATTTCTCATATTTCTCTTTTATTTCCAACAATTACCATCTTTCTTTTCTTTCTATTATTAATGCTTTCCATCACTTCCGCAGAATCTTTTCTACCTTCATTCTACCAACTATGTGGAGGTTCAAGCCATTTATGCAAAAAGAGCCAGCAGGGCTCGAGGGCAGATCCCTTGATGTATCCCATCTTAAACTTCATGTTCGCAATGCCATTGCTGAGGGTGGCTTCTCTTGTGTCTACTTAGCTAAGGATGCTCTACATGCTTCAAAGCAGTACGCCTTGAAGCACATCATATGCAACGATCAGGAGTCCTTGGATTTGGTCATGAAGGAGATCTCTGTCATGAAATCGCTACAAGGACATCCAAATGTCGTCTCACTTTATGCTCATACTATTTTGGAGATGGGAAGGACCAAGGAAGCGCTCCTTGTCATGGAATTTTGTGACAAATCTCTTGTTAATGTCTTAGAGTCCAGGGGAGCTGCCTATTTTGAGGAGAAACAGGTTCTTACCATTTTTAGGGATGTGTGCAATGCAGTCTTTGCAATGCATTGCCAGTCCCCACCAATTGCTCACAGGTACTAAATACTAATGCTACATATTTGGCTCATCAAGTTTTTAGGTTTCCCACTTTTATGCCTATTTTAAGTACGGAAAACACATTTAACTTTAAATTGAGCTTTTTACTCTTCCTGGATGTTTAATTTTAAAAATTGCTGAAACTTTTTGTAACTTCTTATTGCTTTATATATCTTTTATGCTGTCCTGCTACATTCTAGCCTATTTTTTTTTCTTACGGAGAGTTATTTGTCCTTGGCAACTTCTTGTTAGATTTGACTTAGGATGATACTGTTTCAGTGATATTCCTTCAGACTAATTTAATCTCTTTGACATGCAATGGGAAGGATCAAATCAAATAAAATGCCATGATCCTGTTTTATTTGGCCCAAAATTGAAATCCTGCTTGTGTTCTCCCAAGAAGTTATTTATCACTGTTATATATTTTGTGCTTTTCCTAGAAGTTGTTGATTACTGGTGTATGTTTCCTTACACCTCGTCGTTTTGATTTTTGTAGAGACTTGAAAGCTGAGAACCTTTTGTTGGGTTCTGATGGATTATGGAAGTTATGTGATTTTGGGAGCACATCTACCAATCACAAGCGTTTTGAGAAGCCTGAAGAGATGGGTATAGAAGAAGACAATATCAGGAAGCACACCACACCCGCCTATAGAGCCCCTGAGGTTGAATGATGAATTAATTTTTTTAGAAAATTTTTATGGTTTATGGTGTTTAAAATGTTTGATTTTTGTCTTCATTCTTTTATTGGCATAGATGTGGGATCTATTTAGAAGAGAACTTATAAATGAGAAGGTGGACATATGGGTAAGTCTACTGCATCTTGTTTTTCCATGTGAAATCTAGAGATAAATTAGATTAGATATACTCTTTAAGTGTAAGCATAGACTGAAGCTGCTCTGTCATATTGCAGGCCCTTGGGTGTCTTTTCTTTCGAATTTGTTACTTCAAGAATGCATTTGATGGTGAATCAAAGCTACAAATCTTAAATGGGAACTATCGTATTCCGGACTTACCTAAGTACAGCTCTTCTGTTAGAGACCTAATCAAAGACATGCTTCAAGCTTCACCTGTTGACAGACCTGACATCACGCAGGCAAGCGCTTTGCTTGATTGGCCATTCATCTCCATGAATTTAGGTTAGTTTTAGATCATCTATGTCCATGGTAATCTTTGGCAGAGATCTAACATTCTGCTTACTGATCTTGGGATTTTCTTCCCATGATGGCAGGTCTGGTTTCGTGTTAATGAGCAGTTGCCCGTTGGTCTACAGAAGTCCTTACCTGATCAGCCACCTGAAATGCTATCTATTGAAGGTGAACACATATACTGCATTAACAGTTCAGTTGTTCATTGAAGGTCTAATACTTGTATTAAATTTAACTGCCTCTTGATATACTGGATGCTGGTGTTTTTTTTTTTTTTGGATAAGCGGATGCTGGAGTTGTGAGACAAGTTGTAGAAGATTGTAGAGAGAAAAAGTTTGAATAGTAACATTAGTTTTCATTGAACTTGAGTTGATGCTTTGTGAGTATTTAGCAGGTGTTCCAAGGTCTGCAAATAAGTCACCTCAGATGCCTCGTAGAAGTCCACCACCACCACCACCATCTGCGGAACCAGGTAGAAATACATCACAGCCTGGCTCAAGGGCAAGTGGCGGACAGCTTGGTGCTTTCTGGTCCACTCAGCATGCAAAGGACTCAACTGTTGCCGAAGACAAGAGCAGACCCAAATTTGATGAAGATACCACTAGCTATAGCTCAATAAAACATGACAGGAATCATCCTGAAAATCACCCTTTACCCAAAAATAGTAGCCCTGTGAGAGGGGAAAATATACAAACTCATTCTATACGAAGAAGTGTGCCTGATAAATCACACAAACTCGATGATGGCCCTTCTAAAGATTTTGAAATAAAACTTTTTGAGGATAAGGATACCGCCCCTAATTTTGAAGACGAGGCCTTTAACACCTTTGTTGCTGAATTTGATACCAATAAGATTAGTTCTGGAATTAGTATTAAAAAAACAGGAAAAGAAGAAGCATTAGAGGCTGAAATAGAGAGGCTGAAAGAACAGCTACAGCAATCTAACTTGGAGAAGGTTGAGATGACTTCCAAATTTGAAAAGTTATCTGCAATCTGTCGATCTCAGAGGCAGGAGATACAGGAGCTCAAGCAAGCTCTTGCTGCTAGAACTCCATCTCCAAGTAAAAGTACTTCAATAAATCAGAACTTACCTGGAAGTCATCATGCTGGAAGTCTGGTACCCTTTTCTTCATTTTGTTGCCGATTTGTTTGCATATAGTTGAACTTTTTTCTATTGAATTTGTACCTGTTACTTATGTTCTTGATAGTACCAATTCTTTTTTAGCAGAGGGAGAAGGTTGAAGGAAAATTGTGGGAATTCCCTCAAGAAAAATCTGCTGAGTGGACTACTGCCAGCCCAGAAGCAAAGCCGTGGCAGGCTTTTTCTGAGGGTGCCAAACTGCAGCAGCAGCCTCTTTCAAAGGATAATGTCCAGTCGGTTAGAACCAGAAATGGTCACTCAAACAAGCATGTTTCTGAAGCTACTTCTGGATTGGACACATGGAGTTTTGGCACAGATAGCTTCACAGCTGCTCCTGCTGCCAGTCCCCAGAGATTGAAACCAATGAGTGAAGGAAGTAGTTCTCAGCGCTTTGGTGAGTCAACGATCAAGGAGAATCATCCAACTTCCCAACCTGCTGGATGGGCTGGTTTCTGATTTAGTAAGTTATGATTTATGAGGAGTTGTCTCCTCACAATGTTATTTTTTAATACTTGTGGTTGGAAAGATGAGGAAAAAGAGAATTTGAATTGTGTGGCTTGCCGAGCTTGTTTTTTACTGTCGATTGTCTGTGTGCAATAGAACATTTGCACATTTTTTCTGGGCGAAGCAGCAAATACAAAATGTATACTTTTTCTGCATCTCTTGATATTGATTGTTGTCCATGGATAATAAGTAATTTGTTTTTGTTGAAAGTGGTGGTGTGGGGGCAGTGAAAGGAGTTCTCCGATCCTCTTCCTGCTTTCCTACTCTGTGCTTCATCATATGCTGTTGTTTTCTTGATGTGCAAAAAATGATGGGTCTCAGAGAGGCTATTTGGGGGTATATAATTGTTAGGGTCAGGTAGAAGCATTGTTCTGATATCTGGTGTCTATCACATTAATCACATTAATGTTGCCTCAGTGACAAAGCGAGTTCATGTCATAGATGACAGTTAGTTGTCGACTTTGTCAGATGTGATCATCTAAATAAAGTTCATCTAATCCAACAGTGTGACTCAAAAGTGATTGTAGTTTTAAAACCTCATCCTTGTCACATAGTCATGGAATGTAATTTTTGTATATAGTCATTTGATGTGTTAATAGTAATAAATTTGAACGACAAATTAATAACCCTTTCAAGGGTCTGAGTCAAGACCCTTACAACACCCGAGGGTCAGTTTGCCATTTGCTTATCAATGGAAAACATGGTTTTGCTAAATCTGTACACAAGAGTTGTCTTTGTCGTGTAAGAAATGTTTTAAAAGTCTATGGTCTTTTGTTTATATAAAAATTAAGTCTAAACACGAACAATTTGTTTGTGGAGACATTTGGGAATTATGGAATCCTCATTGAGACATCTGTCACAAGGATGATTAGCAATGTTTCTCTTTTTTTTGGCCGTTTACTTTGTTAATTAAAGTGCCCAAAAACTTAAAAAGAGACAAAGAGTTTTGGCCGGAAAGTATTCAACTCTTTCCTGCTTTGCCCAGCGTGAATGCTTCTACTTGTGTACATAATGTTCTAACTTACCTTGTTCTTTGATATTCATATTCTAGTGAAAAGTTCTACCGCCTCTCTTGTTCCAACATGCTCTGGAGCTGAGAAGAGTCGAGAGGAAAACCAGAGAGGGAAGAAAAATGTGTATTTCTCATTAATTTATCAGTGATTACAGCAGAGTTTATATATCTATCTATATATATATATACATATATATATATATATATATATATATATATTCAACTGCCCAATAGGAAACCAGCTAGACTACCTAACTAATTAACTAAACAACTTACAGACGCACAGTAATAAAATTACGGTAAAGTACTGAACAGTAAAAGTAAAACTATACTGGTAATTTAAATAAAACACGTGTCATATCATCGTCCTAGTCTTCTGGTTGAGGCTGCAATCTACATTAACAGCAGCTTCTGTCTTCTTCTCTTCCTTCGTGACTTAATATCTTTCTCCAAGTAAATGTGATGAGCTTGCCTTGGTAAGTTGCCGCTTTTAAATGGAAATCTATGTTAAATGCTTCAAGCGTTGGGTACGTCAAACATAATTGTCCTCCCAAGCTGACTTGGAATTGGATTAACAACTTTTATATGGGATGTATCATATGCTACGTATGAAGCTTTCCACATCAGATAGAACCAATCTTCTCACCTTGTTCGGACTTGTGCCTTTTTGCATTTTCCTCCTTTAGTTAATCAAGACACCTGAAGAAGGTTATTACGGACCTGAGTGCCCAGCCAAAAGGAGGAAAGTAGTTGTCCCAGCTGCAATGCTGCATCCTTTTCTCAGTAGATATCAACAGTGTTGAATGACTGACAATGAACACCACAGATGGAAAGAAGGTCCAAGGAAAAAATTTTGGAGCATCAAATGAATCTTCTTTTGATTTACCCAGCCCTTCTTCTACATTAACTCATCCATTTTCCAGGCAGCCTTCAGTTTCGGACACAGGAAAGATGTTCAAGTCTCAGCTTCCGCCTACCGCTACCAGCCATAGGTCAAGAATCAAGCAAGCTGAATCCTGGATCATCACCTAGCACATCTAGTGTTATGTCTAGTCATTTTGCAGCACCAACTTGAGCTTTCTATGCAGCTTAGCAATACATGGGGATTTCGGAAGGTGATTATTTTATCGGTGGCTTATTACCCACAGATCATTCGCCGGCATCAACATATCAAAAGTACTCAACTGGCCTGTTAGATCAGCCTCCCAAGTGTTCATTCAAAACCAAAAGCCATAGAGAATCTTAACTTCAATCAGGAGTGAAGTTTCATCTAGAAAATAACGAATACCCCAGAAGTTGTGAAAGAGCATTTCCTGCTTCGTACCAGAATTTGTCAACAAGTAACCTTTTTCCACAACAGAAGAAAGCAGAAGATGATGAAGAGGCAAAGCCATGTTAGCTTTAAGGATCACCAGGTGACTGATTAGTGGAGAGAATTCGAGTGAATCTGTATATATATATATACATATATTTATACTTTTTACTTACATTTATTTACTTATTCAATTAAATTAAAATTAATATATATAGTGTGTGTACGCGTATACATATTGTAGAATATACGTTAGTGTTGATGATTGGAGCCTTGTTCTTTGTTTTCTCACTGTACGTTCAGGTTGGTTATCATTTATCCGGCTCTCATCCTACAATTCCAAGCTTCTACATTCGGGCAGAGAAGCATGTTCGAAATCTTCCATATGGGCTCATAGCTAATAGCAACAAGAAGTACAAGTAGAATGTTCCAAATCCAAGATCAGCAGTGACCAGTAAAACGAGAATAAAATGGACTCAGGACCTTTACAAACGATCTGCGGAATTAATGTGCAAATCGTCTTGGGGGTGTGGAGAGCGAGTGATGATTAATGGGTTAGATCGTGATCTAATATCTCTCTCTAGGCATAGCCTATAGCTAGCATTGCAAATGAAATTAGATCCTTAATGATTGTTTCTTGTAAATTTCCCTCGCCAGAAATATCCTACTGCCGAGTATATTCCACAATCAAATGATTGAGGAGGCATAATAATATATATAATCTTTAATATTGACCCTTCTGCTATATACATATGTATATAGTTGTCAAGCTAGCTATCTAAGCTTGCTGCACTAATTAATCAAACATCCATCCGTCCATCTACGTACAAGCACTCATACAGTAATTCCATGGCATATTTAAATCTTAGTTACTCGTATTCTATGGTACTACCTACTTTGACATCCATCCAATGAACTCCCAAATTTGAATTTGATTGAGTGCCGTTAGTTTTAATATTGTACATGCTCCATTGGGTTTATATGATATTTTATATGGAATGGATCTCCAATTCTCTCCATGCTTAGCAACGGGACGTTTAGGGTTACTGCAGGATTATTTATTTTAATTTCCTGGTTTTTTAGCTGTTATATAATTCCTATTTTTATTTATTTTTCACTATATATATATTCACTTAATTGATTAATTTGAAGACGTTGAACATACATATGATTTTCTTTTATTCATATTGTTTGGCCATTTAGTAATATTGATTGTAATAAAAAGTAATAATATTGTTTCCATTTAGTTGTAAAATATTGTTATTAATTTAAATAATCAAAAGTAAAGCCTTTTTGCAAGACTTTAATGTAATAAAAATTTTGAATAATTTTTAGTTGCAAAGAGATAATTGCAAATAACTAAAGATGGAGAATTAAGAGACAGCTTTAAAATATGGAAAATTAAGAATAACAATGAGTACTTGAGTAACATAGCGTAATTCGTCTTTACAATATAATTGAAATTTCATTTAAACATTTTAACAAATCAAAAAGTTTATAAATACTATTTTAAAATAATTCAAGATTTATTATAGTAGATATATTATTAGGTTAAATGTTTTATTTATTTAACTCGCGTCCTAGTTTTACTAGTTGTCCAGTACTCCACTAGTATGTTTATACATGGAGATATACAGAATAGAAGAGAATAATAGAGGTAGGTTTTTTTATTTTACCTAAAAAGAAAGAAAGAGAGAAAGAAAGAAAGAAAGAAAAATAGTAGCGGGTTTGAACTGTTTGATGTGATAGTAATAATAATAGTTTAGTATTAGAATACAGAGTGAGCTGAAAAAAGCCTTGAATTGTTGTTGAAACTCAACAAGGGAAAGCCTTGAATTCAACTAGCAGCACTAGCACTAGCAATTGTGATAACTGTTTTCCAGAATCAAAAACCTAACTTTGCCTTTCTACAAAACAACATACCCCAATCCCTTAAGTTTCTCTGCTCTCTTCGCTCCTAAGTTTAGGGTTTCCACTTCCTTCTTCTTCTTTTTAATTCTTCTCTAACGCAACGCTGGCTATGGACTACGAGCCCTATGATAGCAGTGGTCAGTTTCCTATCTTGTTTTCTTCCTTTGCCTTTATGACGATTATGGTTTCATACTAATATCGTTTGTTTTTCAAAATTTGTGTTTATCATTGCTCGCCCGCTTACCTTTCTCCACACGATGTGGTTAGAGTTTTCAGATAGAATTGGTGGTTCAATTTGCTAGACTCTGCTGATTCCTTAGTGTTTTCCCCCTTACAGCCGCTGCTTTTTATTTTTATTATTATTGCTTTTACTTGATCTTCAATTTCAAATTTTTTTTTTCTAAAAGAAGAGAGAAACTTTTGGTGCACCTAGCGAGCTAAAACTGCTTTCACTTATAATCATGTATTGCGGCACTAGTTTGTGAAATTCTGCTGATCCACTCGATTGATTGATCAAACTGTATGTCAAAGGTTCAAATTTGAAGGCTATTCAGAGATTGAGAAATCCCTCATGAAGCCCATCACTTTCCATCTATCAGACATCTTGCGATTAGGTTCACTAACAATAAATTTGTTTGCTAAACAGGCTGCTTGATACAATTTTTTTTTTTTTCTTTTTGCGTTCTACTGTTTTCCCATTGTTATTAGTAATGTCTTTCTGAGCATTGGCTTAGCATTTTAAACTAAGGGTGTCAGGTAACTTGGTTTCTGCCACCTTATATGCTTTTGCAATTAGTTCCCTCTTGTTTATTGGCACTTGTCACTTTATCCCTTGTATTTGATAGTTACTCTCCTTCTATGAGCTCCTCAGCTTTTGCTAGCATTGATTGTAATGTTGCTTATTGGTTTCATATATTGCCTGCATATCACCTATTTGTCTATGTGTATTAGCCCACAATTTATTAACGTAATGTATTCATTTTTTCCCGCTTACTGAGCTCACTACACAAAGACCTTTTGATGTAATGAAATGGTGTGGGATGACAAGGGGAAACTAGGGTATTTGAACTAGGGTCAGACTTTATGAGGGGATGTGTTATATGACTCTCACACTAGTCAATTCCAGGAGAAGAAACTCTCGTGCATTCCCTAGTTTAGATTTTAGAACAACTATCTTCTGACATTACTTCTTTTAGTTCTAGAGAAAACCAAAACAAAGCTAATATAGGTCCTGCAAGGCGCACTTAATAACACCAAAGATGATCCTCAAAAGTTAATGGATAGGCTAATTAAATGAATAAAGACGACAAAAGCTCCTGCAAAAGACTCAAGAAACCCTACTAATTGAGTTTGGGCCAACAAATTAAGCCAACAAATTGAGAAAATGAATAAATAAAGTTTTCAAGTTGCCATGATAGTGCTTACTGAACAGTACTGCTAAAGTTTTGTGCAAGAAAGCTTAGCACAAGGCCCACTTCAAAATCAACACTTCAGGCTTCTAGATATAGCTCATGTATTTCCTATTAACTGGTGCTACTGTGAATGAATGAAATGATTATGCCGAAAAAACTTTTTTGCAATGTTTTCGACCTGATCTCAAAATGTGAATGGTGTTAAGCTTTGTCGTGAAGTGCTTGAAGAACATTCTTTTCCCCCTTCCTAGGCCAATGAGTCGTCCTATTTGGTAAAGATGGGACTTCTATTCTTTGGACTTCCAATTTTAAACAGTGACTTAAGATATGTGCTTCACGGCCTTATGTGCAACTTTTATGTGATCTAAATAGTTTAGCTCAACACTATTGATCTATGAAGACAAATTTCTTTTCATGAGCACTGCTCAAGCTGCAATTCACTCTCACTATTTTACTTTGAAACAATTGTAGGAACTGATGATGATCTACCACCATCACATCAGAATAGAATACCTAGAACTGGACGAATTGCTGGGAATGGAAGATCTGCTGTAGCTTCAGTGACATATCCTAGGATTTATGGTGAAACTGATATGGAGGCCCAAATTCACCAGCTTGAGCAAGAAGCATACAGTTCAGTTCTAAGAGCCTTTAAAGCTCAAGCTGATGCCATTACTTGGGTACTTTATTAAAATTGTTTCATGAATTTAATATCTGTAAATTTGTTTAGGGTTTAGATTTAAATATCTGCTATGTACATGTATTCTCTTCAGGAGAAGGAGAGTTTGATAACAGAACTTAGAAAAGAATTGAGACTATCAAATGAGGAGCACAGAGAGCTTTTAGGCCGGGTTAATGCGGATGATGTCATACGGAGGATAAGGTCTGCATTAGTTGAGACAAATATTGTTTATTAAGAGATGCAATCCTTTATAAAGCTTCAGTGTTTGTTTTTTTTCTTTTATCGGTAACGATCCTGTGAATGCCATTAGGGAGTGGAGACAAACAGGGGCACTGCAATCCAGCGTGCTTAATTCTGGTCAAGCTGTTCATGGTCCTGCACCTAGTCCCACTGTGTCAGCATCTCGCAAGAAACAGAAGATAAACCAGTCAGTGCCTTCACAATCCTTTGGTGGGCCATCCCCACAATTTCACCCACAAGCTGTTGTTCCATCTCACCAACCATCTTCCTCGGCTGCTAAACGAGGACCTATAACTGGCTCCAAGGGCAAGAAACATAAACCAGTGAGTTAGAATTATGAATATTTCAAGTATAATATTGAAGTCTTCAAAACAATAATAACTCCGTTTTGTCTACTTCAATTGCATTCATTTTAATTTGACAGAGTTTGCCCGGTGCGCCTTCCATGAAGTCCCTGCAGTACCCGTCCACAGGTTCAGCTGGGAGGGGTCAAGTTGTTAATAGGGTATCCTCTGGTACTGCCCTTGTGAGTGAACCTGCTGAAGGGGCAACATTTAATCCATTAATTGGGAAGAAAGTAAGGACAAGATGGCCTGATGATAACAATTTCTACGAAGCTGTCATTACTGAGTACAATCCAGTTGAGGTTTGTATGGACTAGGATTGTGTATAAAATTTAGTTCATACTGGTTTTTAGCCTGATTTGTTCTATTCCTCTTTAGGGACGACATGCGCTGGTCTATGATATTGGTACTGCAAATGAGACATGGGAATGGGTTAATCTTTCAGAGGTACATCTGCTATTTGGTCTTCATGATCCAATTTGCATTTCCTACCGAAAATCAAAATCTTCAGATCTAGGCATGCCGAACTGTTTGAACAACTTTCATGTTCGTAAATAAGATTGATCCTTGTTCTATTCTTTAGCCATTCATATTAACTTATTAATTTTGTCAATATGGTACTGTGAGCTTGTCGGATGTATTGCAGACACTGAAAAATATTACAAGTTTAGCAAATCTTTAGTTCTGGACATGAGGATTGCATTTCCACAGTTTGTGGAATTTGATAATTTGGTGATCCAATAAACCTAATTTCAGAAATGAATGGCTTGATTCTTTAGTTGAAAGATTATCTTTGCATCGCTGAAGCACCTGTTCTGTCATTTATTTAGTTTAGCAGCAATATATTTCACTAGAAGAAAAATGTTAGTACTTTGCATTCTTCTTTTACTCGCATATGTTCATACTATAGCATTTCGTTTAGTTTCTTCAATTAAATCAACCATTTTCTTCATGATTATATTATAGTCACTCCGTCTTCTGTTTTTTCCTGCAGATTTCTCCTGAGGATATACAATGGGAAAGTGAGGACCCTGGAATTCCTCATCGTGGTGTTTATGGTGGACCAGGTCATGGGATGAATAGATCTGTAGGTCATGATGGTGTGCCAGGTGCAGGAAGAGGTAGAGGTTTCGCAAAGGGGCCATCAAGAAAAGATTTTCTACCGTCACAGAATGGCATTGGAAAGAAAGCACTAGATGATATACAAATTCTTCGCACAGATACTCTAATCAAGGAGGTAAAAGAAAATAGGTAGTCATCATGTGGAGTTTTCTGTGAAAATAGGTTTATCCCCAGCTCGGTGTCTTGATTAGTTAATGAACAAACATGTGCATTATTATTTTTTTTTTTTTTGGACTTGGGCAGGTGGAGAGGGTTTTTGGTACAAACCATCCTGACCCCCTTGAAATTGAGAAAGCAAAGAAAGTGCTAAAAGTAAGAATAGTAGCCATGTGAGTGCCCTCAAACATTTTAATGTCAAACTACATAACTAATTCTTAATTTTCCAATACAGGAGCATGAGCAATCGCTTATTGATGCAATTGCAAAGCTCACAGATATATCTGATGGTGAAAGTGGTAATTTTTTTCTTCTTTTATCTTATTCTTTAGATTTTATTGAACATCCATGGTCTTAATTTGGGAATGATAACATTTTATGGAGGGCCTGCTGCAACATCATTTAGATGTTATATTCTTCTTCTACTTCTTCTTGTTTCCATAATGGCAAATATCTTCCCTAGAATGAAGTAGAAGCTAACAACTGCTAGGGCAAACTTGTTTGTCATTTGGACCCTCTATGCCTTAAATATATGGCTATGTTTATGATTTTGGGTACTAATTTTGTTTTCCTGTGAAAATGCTTGTATATTGATTGACATCAAGAAACAGTTGGTTTTATTGCAGCTGTTTTCCTGAATAGGGCTTTACCTTTTTTTTTTTCAAAAAAAAAACAGATGAGGGTGGCCTCCAGTTTGGGCAGCCAATGGATCGAACATGATGAAGAAGCAGTTTTTGTAGGAAGACAAATAGCTTATCCATGTATCCTGATAGAAGGGTCAGAGATGAATGGATGAATGCTTGAGTTGACAATAAGATGGGTAGCGGAGACAGTTGCTGGTGGGAGGGTAATTCTTGTATGATGCACTTTTTCTAACTGTATTTTCCTCAACAGGGATAAGTCTAGGTTTGTGGGGGTGGATAGGTATTACTGTAAGAGGGAATTATTTGTTGTAGTTGTTTGCTAATTTCTTTGTAATTGATTAGAAAAGGAAAAAGAAAATAGTAGAAGGCTGATGCTTGATGTAAGATTATTGAGTTAGCAATTACCGTGTGTTGATTTAGAAATGTATTTTCGTTGGTACCTTTGGGCAGCCCTCTCGTATGTTATCAGGACGTTCAAACTTGGAGGAAACGCAATGGTAGCAGCACGCATTTTGCCTTGGGGTCCTGCTTGTAGCTACAGAGATTTGTGCTGTAATAATATTTTTCTTGGCTTATTCAAGTATTGCTCAAATCCATCTTGGCAAGCATTTTTGCTTCACAATTATTAAACACTTGTCAGTGTGCCTGTGGCATGGATTGGTCATCCTTTGGCACCCATCAGCTTTTCTTTGTATTGACACGTGATGAAGTTAGGACCTTCAGAAACCCCGCCAAGTTCAGAGAAGGGAATGAAATCTCCGGAGTTATTGTCTGGTAGATCACGGTCAAAAGAAATTTTTAGGCTTTTTTTTGTATAATTTTTAAAATTTTCAATAGTTTAATAGAGAAATATAATTTAAAAATTTAAGAATATTCAAGGAATTTGATTTAGTCATCTAAATTAAGTTTACATTTTTTATATTTATAAGAATGGATGCAAAAATTATTAACAAGCTGGAATACCTCAGGTGGTTAGAGCATGCTTTGACAAAGCTACAAAGCCAAAGATTAGAGGAAGCTTCTAATATCTATTCATTTGCCCAAAAAATGTTCCTCAAATGGTTTCTCAACACTCTTATATATAGATTAAGAAACAACAGAAGCTCGCTATCCTCGTCATGCGTAGCGAGATGGTAGATTTTCTTATACATGTTTAGACCATTAATCACATAGTGAAGTTTCGCGACAATCCAAAGTATAAAAAAAACCTATGAATCTTGCTGTTTTCACTGTTGTTGTGCCGTGCTGGTCACTTCCATTGCTCTTTGTATAGTCACTTTGAAATAATTTTATATAATATTAGAGAGATAATATGTCAGTACACAAAATCAAGCATGGATGTCTCCACAATTTTTTTAGGGAGGCGGAGATGCTTAAAATGGAGTGGTGATTAATGGCTACAGCAGCAAATGCATGACACCAGTGTTTATTGACACAATTGACAATACAATTATCGGAATATTGCCTCAGTTTCTAACCCTGGTTCCATATTGCCAGTTATTTACATGTCGTGTATACCTCTCTTGAAGCAATGTCTCTGGAAAAACAAAAACCAATAATCAGGGTATCTTTTTCTACCAAGAGAACCGTCAAAATTTTCTCCTGCTCAAACGTTAGGAGAACCAATTAACCAAAATTGAAAAAGGGAAAGCTGACACTTACCTCAGACTTAAGCTGATAACATTGTCAATACAGATGTGCTCATGCTTTCACTGGTACAATCATAAGAGGGCCTGGCGTAACTCAGTGATTTATACAACAGAAAAAGAAGCTTGCATAGACTAGTAGGCTACGTAAACTAAGAGGAACCTTCAATGTTGTTTGCATTATGAACTATGATTCGTAACCAATATCCTTAACAAGGTGCTGAGAATCAGCACGTTTCCAGCCTCCATCAGCTGTCCTCTCAAAGACACGTGGTTGCCTCATGGGAAAAGTTTTTTTCCAGTCTGGATGTTTAATCAAATAGTTCCACAGCCTTAAAAGATAGCAGGTATGTCACTTAAAACAACTCATTTCCTTATGTGAAAAAAATTATGCAAGTCATAGCACTATCGTATTTTCTAGTTGATTATCAATCTGATACACAGATGCAAAATCATACAGGGAACTTCTGTCTATGTTTAAAAGATTTAGTGTCAACCAAAAACATTAGGGGAAGATGTCATGGACCGCAGATGCACCTAAGTTTCTACTTCTTTTCCATACAATCTGTTTCCTTGTCATTGTTACTTGGCATCTAAAATGCAAATCATTTAATTCTAAACTAGAAGGGCTCTCGGCTTAACCTCTCTTAATTGCTAACATTCTACAGCCAAATTCAGATAGTAACCAATGCAAGGGCAATGTATAACCATATGTAACTAGCTGTCTAAAAAACAAAATCATATGTAAAAACTATTGAGGACCATATATATGAACGCTTCCTTTCAAGATGTGCTCACCTTCTTTCATTATCCACAAAGTCTGGACCCTCAGCAGAAGGTGAAGTAGAGCAAGTAGAAAGGATTTCAGAATCAGAAAGATTTTGCAGTGACAAAGCAATTTGTACTAGGCATATGGTCCTATGTCAACAGAAAAAACAAGAGCAACAACAATAAATTTTAAGTTCATAATATAGTAAAAGAATATTTATTTTAACTTTGCAAAGAAAATAAATATAGATAAGATCAGAGATGTAAAATGTAAAATCAAACAGACTTAGCACAATTGCTGTTGTCATAAATAAAAGAAAAAGTAAGTTGTTAAACAACATTCTACCAACTGCAAGGAGCAATAATGAATCGGTCAGTTTTAGTGTCATAAGTATCCAGTAATTTCCCATGCCAACTGGGGTCTTCATATGAAGCAGAGACTCGAAGTCTCCGCACAATTTCATCTGGACATTGCGAATTTCTATCGAAGCTGGCAGGGATGAGGGATCCAGTAGATGATTCTACCTGGAGACATGCAAAAGAAAATAATGTTTGATATGTTTATAGTGTATTAAAAAGTTTCAACAGCACAAGCGACTAGACTCAATCTGAAACACAGTGTTTTGCCATCAGACTATAAGAATTATCCATTTACCTTGTAGGGAATTTAAACATATGATAATTCTATTCAAAAAGTTTAACAACTAATTGAATTATTGACTGATATCATAGTTTCAATATTGCTATTTCAGAATCATGAGCTGCTAAAAAATGGATATAATGCTTCATTAAACTCTTCACTTCCATTTTCCATTTCAAAATCAAGGAAATGTCAAAGCTGGAAAGTTACCAGGAACCCACTAAAAATGGGATATGCATTTCCTTGAGAATCCGTTTTGGTGTTATGTCCAAGAACACAGAGTGTCTGAACGTGAAAATTTTCCTGTCTCTTCTGCAAAGTTTCAACTATTTTTGTACACAAAGGAAAGGAATAACCATCCATTCTTTCATTTCCCTCTGGTCCACAGATGCCTTTAGCATGCTGCATACAAAGGTCAAAATATTCAACTTAATCATTCTTCTTCTGAGCAGGTTACTATATCTCTAGAAAATCAACAACACATGAGAAGACCATGGGCCAGACATTAGGTGAAACATCTTCAAAACCACCAACTAAATGCACCTGCATTTAAAATTCGAAAGATTTACTTCAAGCAAAAGATATATGTTTCAATTATGATAAATCACCAACGAATTAACAAAAGTAAGGGGAATATAATGAAGAATACATCCAAATCAGCATGAGAATTGTGATCAACAACTAGTGATAACATCTGGATGATGCCAATATCTACAAATTTTGGAGAATCCATATGGGCAACAGAGGTCCTGAATTCAAATCACAATATCCAAATTACAGATCCAATAAAAAGAATTTCCATCAAGCAATTCTGAACTTTCTTGCAAATTCTTACATCCCATTTTCCCGGTTCCGAATGACAAGACCCACACATGTTGTTGCTTCATCAGTGCCAACGTACTTTTCATGCAAGGAAGGAAATAAAGTGAAGGCATTCAACATAACTATAGAATCAAGAAAAAGAGAGGTGTGGTGAATCAAGGCAAAACATGTATTGTAAAGATGTCCAAAAACCAAGAGAAATTCCACGCCTAGAAAAGGCACAAAGCTCTTGAAGGAATCACACATTTACAATCTGAGATAAGCAGAATTCAAGATCAAGTCCACAAAATAACAGTGAAAAGGGTTTGTTCAGTGGAATTTTGGAAAAGGGAGTGGAGATCCATGCTACGTTAGCGAAATGAAAAACAATGACCAAAGATCATAGTGTCTCACTCGCTAATCATTATCTTTAAAAATATTAAACAGCCCACAGGATATTCAGAAGACCACTTGAAATAAAATACAATAAATGAGATTGCCATCAGTTCTTCAAGTCTTCAGATACCAATTTTCCCTTCCAGCTGAATATACAAGCAAATTGATCACCTTTACCCTCACCAAGGCATTTAACTCCCAACTGATGCAAGAAAAGTAATTGGCTAATACTGAGGCTTAACATTGCAGGTTGAACATGACAGGTCAGAACCTGGGGATATATTTGTCCACTAAATGTCATATTACAATGTTATTAGAAACAAGAAAACATGAACGATTTGCTTCAAAATTACAATTGACTTTTATGTGGAGCAGCAGGAATTTTATGATCTGAATTGTCCAAGATGTGAGGGTACCGAGTTTGAACGAAATGCAAAAGGCCATATCTCAGTTGTTACCAAAAAATGGGTACCGAGTTTGATATGCAATTGCAGGAAGTAAAGAGAAAACATACATGGACAAGTGCAGGATCAACAGTAGCATATTCTCTCTGGAATAAGTAGACATATTTAGGGTTATTTGATGACATTGTTAAGTCAGAGTCCATGGATGCCGAGACTCTCCTCTCCTGGATAGACTTGAAAGAATGTGAGGCAGACACTAGAATGGGGTGTTCCATCAATGCCATCAACAAATTCATTGGCTGTTAAAAAAAAAAAAAGACAAAAAATCATCTGTGCTTGCCTTAAAATCATTATGATATATTCCATTATCCATTGTCATCATCCATTATGCACAGTGTTAATAAGGTAGCAATCAGTGCGATTAGGTGTAGATGGATTAAATTTATCAAAGAAAAAAATGAAAAAATGAAAAGAAAAATGAGGAGCTTTGACTGACATCATTATCATATTGATTCCAAAAGGTTTATTAGCATGAAATACAAAGTTGGATTTGCTACGATACTATGCTTTGCATATTTTTACAGGATAAAATAAAATAATACTAGTAGAATTATAAGAATGAGATATCTTTATCGTCATATTCTATGAAAAGGTACATCGAAGGAAAATACCTGAGACTGAGACGATGGCGCTGAGGAAGAAGAAGAGGAGTTGGAAGAAAAGGGAAGCCCACCCACAAATATCATGATGATGATGATTCAACTCAAAGCCTTCACTCCTTTCGTACCCGAATCAAAACTCTCTATACTCTATTGAAAAAAAAAATGAAACAAAATCAGAGGAACACTAGACCAGATTATTGAGAATCGAGTTTTGACCATTGACCATTGACGTCACTCCACCACTGCTCGCTGTGTTTTATTTATGGGCTACCTCCGGGCTCCGACCATACCCAGCCCATAGAGCATTATATATTGGGCACTCTTCTATATGTCCCGTATTCTAGCATACTTATAATATATTGCTTTCGATGATAAGTGGACCAAGATTGAAATTAATAGAAATCGATCCAAGCCAGCTTGGGCCGGAGGAGCACACTCATTGACTACTTATAGATTTATTTTCCATCTGGTTCTAAGAATTGAAAAAATTGGGGCGGGTAGGCTGGGCAGAATGTCGAATACAAGCTCGACTCCGACCACCACAAGTCGGCCTTCAAGCAGCAGCACAAACGCAGCAGCAGCAGTGACGATGAGTATGAGAGGGCCATGCCCAACAACGTCATATCAAGAGCCGCAATGTCCAACAACAGCAGGAGTGATGTACCCAGTAGCCTCCTCTGGAAGGGGATTCCTTCCAACAAACCACCCATGTCGACCTCTCCTGCCCTATCATCCTCATCCTCATCCTCATCCTCATCACTTTGCCAATCCCCGGCCACCATCTCCATCCCTATCCCTTCCCCATCCTACTCATTTCCATCCTCCTCTTAAGGCTCTCTCCCTCTCTCTCCATCCCAAGGTTCTTATTCTCTTTTTCTCATTATTTGATAACGTGGATTTGCAAGGACCGTTTGCTTCTTTACATTCAACGTTTAGGGTTTTTAATCGTACTGGAATTGCTCTTTGATTTCTTTCATCTTGTCCTTTTTCGTTTTACAAATTAAACTTTTATTTTTATTAGTTCTAAGCGAAAGGTATAATAATTGTTCTAGGTTGCTCCTTCGCCATCTTCACTTTCTGAAACTAATGGCTACAAAAATGTCAGGTAATCTATGTAATCTTTTCCATTGTTCTTTTTTTCTTTTTTTTAAGTTGCATATCTCGATGTCAACATTCAAGCCTCTTGTCCCCTGCTTTGTCCAGGGACAGAACCAAAGACGATTCTCTTGTCAATGTTAGGGATCGAAAGGTAATCTCTCATGTCTTATTTCTCTTGTACGCCGGCTCATTCACTGCATTTTCATTTCGCTGTGTCCCTACACTAACTTCCATTGATTGCCTTTGAATTCCCTTTGTAGGTCAGAATAACAGATGGGGCTTCTGTTTATGCTCTTTGCCGTTCATGGTTAAGAAATGGATTTCCAGACGAAACTCAGGTTAGCATCTCTTTTGCTGCAAATTCATTTAAAATTTACCTGCCTTGTAACCATGCTATATTATTATTTGAGTTCCTACCTATGAACATCTTAATTTACTCAGAACAGTTTTTTCTTACAAAAATATATTTTTGTCTTGAATCAGAATGTCAACTCAGCTAATTTTAGGCATGTAATAGTGGTTTTAAGGATATCACAATGAAACAAAGCAATTCACTTGTCATGTACCAAAAAAAAAAATACAATTCAATTGTATGCAAGATTTGCTTATTTTCCCTCTTTTTTGGGGTAGGGCTAAGGGGCTTCAAAGTCAGATGTTAGGGTTTTATAAAGGAGACTAATCAAACACCTATTTGCTTGGTTTATTTCATTCCTATGATTATGCCTAATACTGTTAATTTTGTCAGCAGCCACAATATAGGGATGTTAGCAAGTCTCTTCCACAGCCTTTGCCTATACCAGTCACGGATAATTTGCCAAAGGACACAGAAGATGAAGAAGAACAGGAACAGGAAGATAAAAAGGAGGTCAGTTTCCTTCAATTGTTCTTGTTGCATTGCCAACTTTTGTATTCATATATTTCTCAAGTCTGATAATGGTCTTACTAGTCATAGTCACAAATTAATCATAATTGCAAGTAATCAAAATGACCTGAGAAAGATTTGCAATGTTGAGTGTGTGTTTGTGTGTGCATGCATGTGTGCGTGTGTGTGTGTGAGAGAGAGCCTGCTGGTGACTGGTGCAATGGTAACTGGTTTAAGAGCCTTGGGCTGGCAAATATAGGAATGTCTGTAAATTTTGAGGGCAGCCTTCTTTATGCAAAACTGCTAATAGGTTATAAATTTGGAAGAATAGAAATTTATATAGCTTGCTGGAACCTGCTTGCATTATCTTATTTATGTGACAGTCTTGTAAGGGTTTGTTCAAATGTTTCATTAAAATGAATTAGTCAACATCACAGTTTTGTCTTTAATTTAGGTTCTTCTTAAAATAAATAAGGTGCTACTAGTACATGGTATATAAATTGCAGTCGCCTCCCTTTTATTTTATTTTACTTCATTTGATTTCATTTTTTGGTATTTTTCTTACTTGAGTCTGAGTTTTTATAATTTTGATGTTTGTCCACACTGTGTTCTTCTAATTTTAGTTTTGACTATCTTTTTAGTTTATATCTGAGTTAATTTGGTTGGGTTGCATGTGATAAGCACTTAGTGTTGCTGTTATCAGCTAATCTTCCATTAACTCCCGAATCTTTTGCTTATTTCTAATAAATGAGGATAGCTGCATGTTCGTTAGCAGTGCTGCAATAGTTCTTAAAACCAGAAAAAGCAACTTGGTTTGTGTTTTTCTTTCTTAGAATGAGCTGAACTTCCTTTTACCTGCTTTTAGGATGAGCAATCTGTTGAGAATTTATCAGCACAAGATCTGTTGAAAAGGCATATTGACCGGGCTAAAAAGGTCAGATCAAGGTAAGTTCCTTTCTTTGCAATTTTGTGTTTTTCAATGAAATTTAGCTGTGATAATCATTTTACATCGGTGATAAGGGCAGGTTGGACTGCTTTATGGTTGTCTTTTATGTTAGCCAACTTGAAGCTTACATATTGGTGCCTGAAAAGTCAAAACATTAATCTGTAATTCTTTGTCTTTTGAATGGAGGTATTTATAAGGGCCACGGGTGTGTGCTTTTTACTATTTTCTTTTATATTAGCTCAACTTGAAGCAGGAACAAAGGTGCCTCAAAATATAGACCATAATTGTTTCCTTGTCTTCCTTTTTCAGTAAGGTGTATGTCTTTGTGTTTTGCTAAGGTGACCCCAGAATCAAGGAGTCCATCCTAGACCATCAGAATTTGATCAAGAAGCTAAAAAACATTTTCCTTTATGACTTGATATAAGCCCTACATAGTATTTGAGAAATGAAAGTTCTGTATGGGTGTCTGTTAGGAGCGTTATTGACAATATAATAGAAATTAACTTTAAAACCTTAACTACTTCCTCTATTGTGTATTGCATGTCCTTCTGACATTCACTTTGGGGTAATACAACAAAATACCCGATCTTTTGATGTAAATCCTGGATTATGCTAAAACATCATATCAATGAACATACAAGTAGCTGTTACATCAATTTGCAAGTTATTCCCCTGATGGGTAGGGAAAGACTTGTTCTTTGTGTTTTTTAAAGGGGGCAGACGGTGAGTGCAGGTTAATATATATTTTTGCGCATTGGGTGCATAGATGTGCATCAAAATATTCATGGGTTGACTGCCCAAAAATAAAAAATAAAAAACTAAAAAGAGCAGTGTGAAGTTATGAAAGCATTGTGTACTTTTATTCAGTGTGGATTGACCTTTCACCTTCTTTAAAGATTCCATATGAAATTATTTACATGACCTTAAATAAAATGGCATTGGAATCACAATTTGTGCTATTTCACCCTTCCAAGCTAAAGGCAGAGGTTATGTTGGCAACCAAGTAATGGAGAGACCAAACCTGGCTATTCTAATTACATACTAGTGTGAAGAGCATATTCGGATAATGGGTAGAATCTAAATAACTGTTGAAATGACCTGTTTTGTTGACAAATATACTCCTATGGCTTCCAGTTTGTTTTTCATTTTTCCTCAAATGGTATCTTCGTAGTTTTCTCTAAATGCTTAGTGTTGAACTCAAATGGGTGTATAGAGTGCAGAGAATGATATGGCTATGACTGTCCTTTTGTCACAGGTTAAGAGAAGAACGTTTAAAACGAATTGCGAGGTACAAAACTAGGCTGGCTCTTCTCCTCCCTCCCCTTGTAGAACAGTTCCGAAGTGATGCTGCTGCAGGAAACTGATCCAGAATATCAGCATCAGAAACCAATCACATTGGGGCAGCGTCATGGGCTTCATGCCATAAGTATGTAGTTGTTCTTCTGCAGCCTAGTAGTAACTAGAGATCCAAAATTGTTGCGGGGTGGTGGAGCCAAATTTAATGCTGCAATGAACAAACTGTTTTGTCTGTTTATAAATAAATGTAGAGATTCAGATATGCTACAGATATTTCATTATGTGCAGCTTTGATTAGAGTTTTGAAACTGTTGTATTCATATCTCATGGATGGTCACTATGCGAATTCCCAATTCCTTGTGGCAAATCATCAGATGAAGATGGAGTGAACCGAATCCCTTATTTTCTTTATATGTGAATCTTGTAATTGTCTACGTTATCTGCTGATTAAACTTAGTTGAATCTGACATGGATTCGTGAAGGCCGTATGGTTGGTGTGTTAGACATGTTGTACTGCTGTGTCATCTAGAAGGCTGAGGATGTTGTTGGGTTTTCCCATTTCATAACCATCCCCGAGGTGCATGGATTTGGTTCACTAGAGAAGCCCTTATGTTTAGAGTGGTAAGAGCTAATAAGTGGTCTGTCAAATGGGTAGTGCCACTTTTGTTTGAGTAGCTTGGCTTTTGAATAGTGAATTCCACAGAAAGCCCCAGCCTCTAAGTCCCAGCGTAATATGATTATGATAGGACTAATAAGCTAATTACACCATCCAAAGTGGAATTCAATAGATAAAATTTCATAACAATTTTTCCACCTATTAAATATCATAATTAAATAATTATATTCTAATGAAGTTTTTTTTTTTAAAAAAAAAATCATGATCATCTGCAACAACAATATAAAAAAAAATTAGGCAGTAAGCCTTAATCCAACTTTTGTTTGATTGAATTCCTAATATCCTCAAACAAATTATTTTAAAACTAGTAATGGTCCAAACAAAAAACATTATACATAGGTTGTTGAATAAAAATAATATGCTCCCCAATTTTAGGTACCATTTTGTCTTTGCTCATTTATGGAGAAATTTATAGTTTGATTTTAAGGTGAAATAAATACAGCACATAGATTCAAAATTTTTTTAAAAAAAAGTTAAAATATTAGTCTTATAAGAAGTAAAAACCCCGTGCACGCCTTGATCGGCCACGTGTAAGTGATCGTGAAGAGGGGTGAGGGATTCAGTCAGGCTCGGAGAGAGTGAAGAGATGGGAGATTCGGGGTTGGGAAAGCAAGAAAGCAGACCAGAAATGGCCGCGGAAGAAGGGAAAAGAGCAGCCGCACAGTTGTTCCACCTCCTTTCCAATCTACTCCATCAGGTATCCTTTTAAATTTTTTTACTTTCTTTTTTTTTTGTTAATTCCTCTTCACGAATCGAAATTCGCTTGATTCACCATCTGGGTATCATATTAAAAAGGGGGTTCCTTTGTCCATTTGATGCAATTTAATTATACTGTTATGTGCTTGCATTGCATATGATTTCCTTTACTGAGTTGTAGGGAATTCTTGTTTCCATTAAGAACCCAATGGCAACCGGATTCTTATGCTAGAATACATCATATCGCTGACGTGCAATGATTTGGATCCTCCAAGAACGTTAATTGATTCTTTTCGCATGCCATTACCGTAGCTATTGCATATATAGTTTTGGGCTGTGTGTGTGGAGGTGGAGCGGCCATATATATACTTTCATTCTATTGCATTAACGGGAAATTACGCATGCATTACGGTGAATATGTATGTTTGTATGTAGGTAGAAACATTGACTAATCGGGAAGAAGTTGAATTGCGTTCCAAAATTGAAGCCCTTGGATTGGAGGTCACAAAAGTTCCTTCCAAGTCTGCACACGGCCTTGATGAGGTATGGTGTATCTCAAATGCTGAAACACAAACAGACTACCCAACCCTCTATCATCTTCCACACTTTGGTTTCTGCAAACAAACAGCATGCTGTTTGATCACTGTTTGTCCTTTTAATCTTTCTATCAGCTGGAAATAGCCAAAGAGTTGGACAAATTATCGGCTAAGTTGGATGGTGTGGATGAGATGATATCCTCAGCCATGGCTGCAGACCCCCACGTGCAGTCGCTTCTGAGTGGCACCGCTGATGTATGGATGCCAGTTATTACTGCCAATGCTGACGAGCGACGCAACTTCACAGCATCAATGCCACACGATAAGCTTCAAGATAAGCCTCAAGCCGACGAGAATCTCTCCAATTGATATATCATATATATATATATATATATATATATATATATATATATATATGTGGACTTGAAAACGAAAACAAAAAAATAAATAAATAAAGATTTCTCACCACCCTAGTTGTATTATTTGCGTTGTCTTTCTAAATTAACAGTTTCTTAGAAAAAATTTTCTTTTTCTTTATTTAGCCATAGCCACAGCCGCAGACATAAGATTTTATTAGGAACCCTCCAAGGAGAGGACATACAAAATTTGGTTCTGGAAACATGTATGTTAGCTTTAGCCAGCCTTATGCGTGACAATAATCCTCCTTGCTCGAAATTGCTTATCGTGGTAGGTAGGAATGTAGGTAAAAATAATGAGTGACATCTCAACTTGCTCAAGTAGCATATATATTCTCTGCATCTGGCGGAGCACTGAAATAAAGCTTTCTCCAGTCAACGCAAAGGCGGTGTATGAAACTAATCTAGAGACTACATGGAGAAATAGTTTCTTCCTCCTTTTTCTTGTCGTAAAGAAAGAAAGAAAGAAAAACAAAGGAGGAAATGATGGAATGGAAGAGACTTAAGTTAGGCAAGCAGCATAAATCTGATGAAAACAAAATCAAGGGAATATATACGATAGGTTTACCAAGTCATACGAAATAATATCACTCAGTTTACTCGGGAAGTTGGCCCGCTGGCGCTACATATGTCTAGTTAGGCAAATCCATGAAGCCAGACCAGAATTTATAATGCGTTGGCAGTCATTTACGGCCTCAAAATTAAACACACTTGTTTGCATTCGTTTGTTTTACATTGAAAAGATAGCAAAACAGCCGCCTCTATTTTGGAGGAAACTTAACTATTACACCAATCAACCACATTATAATGGATCCAAGCATCCAACAAATGAGAAAAAAAACTAGAAATCCTGCCAAAATGGTGAGGAGTGGGGGGCCTTGGGCAGTATCACCCGATTTCTCTGTGATGGAATCTTCACTAGACGGATTAGAACAAAATGACCTAAGCCTTCTTTCAAATTTCACAGTACCATTGAACCTGCAAGTACAACAATAATGACAATCACACTGTCAACTTTTACTATGGCAGCAACATTTCAACTACAGCATCAAGGATACTACGAAGCATGTAATACATGTATACTACAAACTCAAGTATATTTTATATATGAAGCTTGAGTAAACAATGGCTTCATTGCCAACTAATTGGATTCCTTATGCTGCACAATTATTGGTATTCATAAAAGGTAGCCAATGTAATGCGTGTAAGCTAGCAGAAAACGTTCAACAAACACTCTACAGAGTGGGAAAGGAAGGGAGGATGTAAATTTCATGATAATATTGTAGTTTCCAGTAAAGAAAGCAAAGCACAAAGATGTGGAAAGACGACAGATTATGCAAGTATTTTCCGCAAGCAAGTTGAAGTTAGGGAGCAGGCCCTAGTTTCACCGTACGCTAGGACCCTTGTAATATCTAGTCTCTAGCTAGCAGCTCCCAACAGTTTGAACTTCATCTGGACATATATTTCCAGGAAGATGTCCTTTCAGTCAAACCATCTTTTGAGACATTTTAAAAATAATCTTTTTAATAATATTAATTATTTTTAATTAAATTAAATAAAATTATCTTTACTGAAATTACACGTCAAGATGTTACACACCGTATATAGAAACGTGTGACACGCTATGGTTAATTTGTTATATGTTATGTACAAAAACATGTGACACATCATGTACAAAAATATGTGACACATCATGTACAAAAACATGTGATACACCTTGATTAAGATGTTACACGTCATGTACAAACATGTTACACGTCATGTACAAACATGTTACACACCATGATTAGGTTGTTACACGTCATGTTAAAAAAAATACTATTGTTACACACTATGTACAAAAACATGTTACAAGTCATGGTTAAAAAAAAATTATTACACGTTGAAAAAAAAATACTGTTATTACACACCATATTGAAAAATATTATTGTTACACGTCATATTCAAAAACATTTTATTACACTTTAATGCATAAACTGTTGTTGTTACTTACAAATCAAAACTTCAAATCTTCTCAACTCTTTTTATTTTTTTCATTTTTTATTTTTTTGACAATTTAACACTGAATAAAGTGTTTCTAACATGTTTTTATAAATCAAAACACAAATTTTTTTATCTAAAATACCTATTGAGTAAAAATCGAAAAAAAATTTCATTGAAAACCTAAGTTTGTAAATTTTAAAATTTTGAATTTATTGGTGTTTAGATCTTGAATTGATCCGATTAAAAACTATTTTAAATATTTGTGATCATTTCTACTGTTTAGTTTTATCTAAAATATTTTAAAATTAAATTCTCTCAATAGTCATCCACTCAAGTACATTAAAACTATCGTTTGGTGTCTTCAAAGTGCTGAAAAGATAAATTTGAAAGTACGAGAGAAAAAAATCGAGAACATAAAAAATAAATGTCAAAGAGAGAAATCGATAAAATTAAAGAAAGTGAGATGTTGAGAGAGAAAAATCGAAAGCACAAATAAAAAAAAATTATGATAAATAATTTAATTTATTTAAAATATTTTTATCAAATTATGATTAAATATAATTAAAAATAATTAAATTTATTTTAATATTATTTTTAAAATACTCTCATCAATAAAAATTATTCCTCACAATTTCTTCCACTTTTTTAACCCCAAAAGCGATCGCTCTATGATCTATCTAGATTATCCGAGTCAGATAAGCCTGGTTCGACTGGAAAATCAGCTTTAGAAAAAAAGGAAAGCACTCCGCCAAGACCAACATCGCAAAAGAGTGCAACTGTTCAGCGCACTCAGTTGTCTTTCAACTAGAAAAATGTAAAAGCTGCATTTGACATGAATTTCGTTCGGAGAAAACAACAAATCACTGGATACAATATGAACTAAAAGCATGAATCAAAGTTGAAATGCCTACCTCAAACTGAAAGTGGAAGGGCTTGGTGGGATTCTTTTGGGAGCAAGTTTAGGCCTGGGGTTTGGAGGCTGAAATGCTAGATGTGATTCGTGGAAAGGTGGCGCAGATAGAGCAGCAGCGCTGCTACAGGGAGCGTAGTAGGCCATTTCGATTTTCCCCTTGTGTTAATTTGGGCAAACCGAAGGGAATTGAAGTTATTGATATATGCCTCAGATTTTGGATCAACCTGGTACCACAATCGTGAGACCTCGACTTGGGTTTATGCCACGTGGAACGGATCAGTATAAATTAGAGAATTCTGGATGAATTAATTACTCGTGAAAAATCATTCAGGATGGATCAAATTTTTCAAGCCTTGAATCTTCAAATTTCCCAACAACGAGTCTAGAATTCATCATTCGCTTCTCATAGCCACTATTTATTGACTAATTGGTGATATTATTATTATTTTTATTACCATTTGGTGAACCAAGTAATCGCCAAGGGTTTTCCTTTTTCTTTCTTTCTTTCCTTAAAAAAGTCAAGTGAAAGTTGGACGATACCATACGCTGAAGATGTTAGATGACCAGTATAATCGACCTCCCCTTAAACCTATCAGGTCACAAGTCTTTTAATATCCCAAGTTATTGGATTTAACTTTACAATCTTGCCTTACATACATAAACATAACATCCATAAAATGTAGTACAGTAACATGATAAAAAATGCATTGTCACAGAATCATGCATCTACCTAAGACATCCATGTCGTAGAATAAAAAAGATATGGGATTAGACATAATTTCATGCCTCCACACAATAAAATCATGAATTACAACTACTTAACGGCAGTATTGATTGCATAAGGTCCAAGCCTGAAACTTACATTTTATTGGAATAGCTCATCAAAATTCTTATCCAACTGAAAATAATACTACAAGCTCATGACCAAAAGAGGGTTGAAATTCAAATTTTCTGTATGAAACAATCAACATTTTCTAGTCCTTCCAGCAATTTGCTACAAACCAAACAGCTTGGCATTGACTCTGGTAAATAGCTGCTCCACTCACAAAACCCAAGCTTTGTGAGCAATTATTACTCTTAAGATATCAGGCACCAACATTTTTAAGCTACTTTCGTTTTCTTGCAGTAATTTTCAAGCCATTCCATTGTAACACTTTTTGGCCTTTCAAGGGGCAATCCTAGTGCTCGGTCCCATATTAGCTGAACCAACACAAAAGACAATAGGTCAAGCAACGCCAGGTGATTCACATAAATGCAAATGAAATACCACAGCAAAATCAAACCTGAGAGCAAATTCCAATACTTCTTGATACACCAAAAAGAACAGTATAGTATCTGTCCATCAAGTTATAAAAATATTTAATCTATTGGGAAATAATAATTACTAGATCGCAAACAATAACTGTTCATGCTTTAAAATAATTTAAGTGACCAAAATATTTGAAAGAAAAACTTCATATCGTACCTTGCTTCAGTTAAACCAAAATAATTCAGTAGCACCCCACTGTGTGCATCAACATTGGGCCACGGATTTTTAACCTACAAGCATCCAATATTACAAATGCGGGCATTAGTTTCCATTTCAACATAATAGAAATGCTGCATCAGTTGGCTAATCTTATGCAGGTTAAAGTTTCAGTGTAGCCACCAATAAATAACCTAATATTCAACAAAAAAAAATATAACATAAAAATAGTGATAAATTTCAGTTTCAGTATATTTCTTACTATGAATTAAAAGCTTATTAAACTTGAAGCAAAGCAAGTTAATCAAAGTTCAATAATATATATAATAAATAGTTCAAAATCATAAGTTCTAATGACAACAACCTTCAGACCATGGTTTCTTTCTTAACCTCATTTCCCAATTTTACCATTCATTTCAACTAAATAATAATAACTGAAGAAGCTAGCAAGGATTCCAAATTCTATCAATAAAGTATTAAACTCCACATGCTCTTCTGAACTTTACCACTGCACTCAAGGTTGTTCATTTATGATGTATTAGAACGTGTAACATTCACATATTCTTTGAAACATCTGGTCAAAGGATGTAAATGAGAAAAATTACCTTGCCTAACTCAGTAAGAATAGGAGGCACCACTTCATAAAGCTTAGAAACCTGTAAGAATGAAAATTATATCACCTTAGCAATAATCTCAAAGTGTAAACAATCGCAGACAAATGGCACTCTTTAACATTCTGTCATCAAAGCATGAGTGAGAACCAGCTGGAACAGCGGATCATCAGGTAAGTGCTTCAATGCAAACTCTCTTTGACAAGTGTATCTTGGATCAGTTTTACGCAACACTCCATGACCAAATCCAGGGACAACCTGCAGATAGAAAAGAAGTACGCTGAATTAAGACAACAAAATTAAAATAACCTAACAAATCTTCTAATAAAAATTAAAAAGACAAATTGTGATACTGATCATAGTAAGGCATTAAAAGCAACGACAACATTCTTAAAAGCACTGCATTCTTCAAAGAAAGGTATAGTGCAATCTTAGTAAAATAAACTTCAAAGAAAGGCATTAAAAACCAGAAACTAAATAGAATTTTCAAAAGCAACCACAGCATTCTTAAAAGCACTACATCCTTCCCTTGCCAGTTCAATAAGGGTAATGAGTTCAGATGAAGCACATCAAAAAAATTATCATGAAGCAGGAATGACAAGTTACACATCTTCCAAGATTAATAAACCAGATAGACAGGTGCTCTAATAAATGTTTGAGGCAGCAGCATATCCAAAAATGATTAGCCACACTTAATATCAAATTTGTATAAACTGCAGACAATACCTTGCCACTGTTTAGTGTTTTCCAGACATAGTCTTTCAGCTGTTCTTTGGTTATGTTCTCTCCACACTCATCTACCACAGATTTGATCCAAAGCAACACTTCCTGCAATGGAATTAGAAGGAAAGACAATGTGGCAACAGCCATCAGGATTCAGACAGACAGTGAAATCATCTATACTCAGGAACAAACTTCAGCATAATGTTCAGATTCAGAAGCTCAAGAAATATCAGTGATGGTAAATTAATCAAATTAAATGGGTTGAAATTATTTTGATGGCAATAAAACAAGAAATCAAGAGGGCATTTATGCTAGCCCACACTGCTTTCCTTTAGGAATTAGCTGATTCCTAGTTGCATTGGTGGTCTTGCAAATAAGTTTATGAAGCTCTGATTGCATATAGAGTAGTAAGCTACAGAAACTATACAAACATTTCAAGCAAGACTGTCTCAGATGTAATAATTATAAGTAATGTAGGGACAGGTAATTGCACAGAAAACTCCTAGAATTTAGTAACAACCAGACCCCAAAGAGGTAAACAAAACCTATTATAGGTCTTGAAAGCACATTGCCCTTGTCATGCTCTTTTTCCTTTTAGTGCATATAAAAAAGGTGGAATGGGATGCAAAAGACAGAATGCATCCATCTGTAAGGATTGGGCACAATCAATACAACAGGAAGTTTATGATTTATAAATATCACTATTATTGTCATCAATCAAGAACTTAATCTGCCTGGTTCAAATAGTTGACTACAACTAATGTCCAAGACACAAGCAGGTTTGACCTTTCAGCCTCTCCCCAAAAAGACTTGGCATAATTTGACTCAACTGAATATTTAAAACCATTACAATCAGTAAACACCAATAAATCTTATAGAATTTAGTTACATGTTATGTGACTACAGCTTTGCACAAATAAGATTCAGAAGCACGCAAGCATACCTTTGCTAAAACCTAGATATTGAAAAATTAAAATACAAGAAAGCTAGACAGCTCAAGTCTGGAAGATCTGATACCTGATTAGCCAGACCATGGAGTGGCCCAGCTAACCCATTCAATGCAGCTGCAAAGGAAAGATAAGGGTCTGAAAGAGCACTACCCACCTGAATTCAGACCACCAATATAAGAGAATACAAAAAAAACATTGGTCAGATAAGCATAAGTTTAAAGAACTATCAACGTGTTTGAGAACTAGTAAAAGTGCCCTCAATATAAAATAGTAAAAACCAGAGATCAGAAATACTACAAATTAATGGCAACTCAAAATGCTTAAACCAATAGTCATAAAAACTCACCAAGTGTCCAGTATGGGCACTAACATTTCCACCTTCATGATCACTGGAGCCCATTATGTAAAACCACATCATTAAAGCAACACGTATAACTTGGCCAAAACATTGACAGATATGATAATTTAAAGAAAATACAATAATGGTGAAAATGGAAAATATACACTAAAAATCGGTATACCATAAGAAATATGCTCAATTGGAGAATAGCATAGACAAACCTATGAATGGTGACATAAAGCCTCATAAGCTCTTGCATCTGGGGACTATTGAATCCCAACATGTGTGAAAAATTTCCACCATAATCCAATGAGTCGTCCATGGCAATAAAATTTCCATCTTTATATATCCTTCAAAAAAGTAACAGGAACTTAATTTAAGAAACTACAACAGAATTTTACGGGACAAGGCAATGCAGCTGTGGTCAGATAAGTCTCCCAACACATCAGTCTGGTTGGTTCATAACATTGAAATGACATGCTTATTTTTAGGCCAAGCCAGATTTAATTAAACAAAATTTCAGAATAACTCATTGATGGAGAAACAATTTAGGCTTAGGGTCTAATTTTGATTAGTGATATTTGGGATTGCAAATTTGTGTCCAGGTTTTATAGTCTCTACCTATAAGCTTGGTGGGCGTATTTTTAATTGAGATTTAAATTATTGAAATTTTGAGTCTTGAAATCTCCTCTCCCTTGGTTCTCTCTAGTTCCACTCCCTTGTTTCTAACATCTTTGCTCTCTATTTTCTCTGTTTCACCTTTTCACCCTCAGATTCATCTATATTCACTATTTTCTACCTCTTCCCTCCCCCTTGTTCTACATCACTCATTGCAAACAAACAAATAGTTTCAGAACAGTAAAAGAAGAAATTCGCAAACCAAACTCATCCAACAACTTAAGTATATGTGCCATAGACAAGGTATCATATGCTACACTAACCTTCGATAAACGTACGAAGCTACTAGTGGCACGCGAGCAATCAAACTAAGAGCATCTTCATATGTCGGCTCCCAATACCTAAAATCAATATAACATCAGAATAGTTGCACGACCACTAGAAGGTTGATTAATGACATCAAAGTATGACTGCATGGAAGAACCTTACTTTGATTTTGGAATTCCCTTCTCGTATGCTTTCTGAAATTCACTTTGAACCTGAAAGACAAAGTTATTCACTTCCGATATATGTACAGAAACTTAACAAGGCAAATTTATAGTTAGTTGCATCACTCTTAACACCTACGATTGCCACTACAGATTTTAAAGATTATATTTTAGTCCAGAAGGACTTCTTCTAAAAATGAGACTTGTTACAGAAAGAAAGCATGGACAAAAAAGTCAATCTCTACTAGAATCTACAAAGTGTAAGAGAAAGAAATAGGGAAAGACAAGCAGTTGATAGCACCAGAATTGAACACTACTAAAGATCTACTTACAGAAACACAGAACCATCAACCTAAAGATTATCCAGTTAATTCTTGGATAATATCTGGTTATCAGAAAATGAAAGTGTTTTCTGATTAACAGGAACTTGCCTAAAATGACAATCTGTCGGTTAAAGAACGTATGCATCTTCAAGCAAAAAATAGTCAAAACCCAGCTTGTTTTATGTATTAAAATACTTGAATGCATTTAAACTCCAGAGCAATCCTAGTTAACAATGAGCTCGTAGAATTTTGAAGTGGAACAGCTGCTATCAAAAGTCACCCTGTTCATCTCACCACTATGAGATGATTAACAAGTTAACCAAAACAATGAGGTTGAGGAGTTGCTTTTTATTTTTTGTAGTTTTATCTTTATGAATGAAACTAAATAATCCAAAACTTCTAACTTCTTCGCTTAATTAAACTTATGCAAAATCAAAATGCATTAATAACTATACAAGAGCTAAAAGAAGTTTAACTACAGAACAGAATGGTTATGAAAAAGAATATAAGTCTAGAACATATATCAACCTGGAGTGCCATAACACCAGTTGCAAACTGGGTCATTGGATGAGCTGAGACAGGTAGAGCATCAATGGCCTTGAACACATAATCTGCAACCAAATAGAGAAATCCAAGAGATGTAAGAATTCAACTGCTTCATTAGAAGGAGGTAAGAGTAATTTCTACAGGTTTCAGGAATAATGCAGAAGCTACAAACCAGGAACAACAGCACGGCTACGCAATTCCTGAGATAAAGCATCAACCTGAGCTTTGCTCGGAACCTGAGTTAAAAGGAGGAAAGGAGCATGTTGTCAAGCATTATAGCCCAAAAGAGGATATCCTGTCAATACTAGAAACCTCATATACAACTGCCCACCTTTCCGGTCAAAAGAAGCCATAAAAGACCCTCAGGCAAAGGTTCTCCGTCAGGCTTTGCAGCTGGTAATAGTTTTTGACACTCAGGAATGGACAGACCCCTAAAGCGAATTCCCTAGAAAACATAATCCAACTTTTAGTTTTTGCAACTTTATGTCCCCGTAATTCAGTAACTGAGCATACATGTCTGCTGAAACCTGTTACAGACGGTAAGTTATTGACACATACCTCATCTGGGTCAAGTAATGAGGTTTCCCAAAGCAGCCCTGTCATTCCTCTCATTCCTCCAAGTACCTTTCAAACACAGTGCAAAAGTCAGTCATTGAGAACCCCAAGATATACTCATAAGTTGATTAAATCTCCAACTTCAAATTGAGAAACGAAAAGGCAAAGGGAAAATAAACTGTCCTTTTCCATTACTGCTACAGTAGAAAGACAAAAGATGTTTTACCATATCAACAGCAATATTCCCAAGTTGCACTTTTCCATGTTCTGCCTTCAGTTTCTTCAGGCGCTCCTGGAAAATAAATATTGAGAAGCCATTCAAAAAAGAAATTTTCTAAACTGGCTATGATCTTGCATATAATCATTGACGGAATCACAATGATGATAGAAAATCCGTCAAAAGGCTAAAATTATGATGAAATATAGGATCAAAACTTAATACTGGGATTCTTCAACAACTTAAAAATGGAGTGATGTAGATAAAAAGTGGAAATAAAATTAACCAGTGTTTGCTCAAGCTTAACTCTATCTGCACCTATCATTAAGAGGGCATATGAAATCCCATTGAGACTACCAAAACAAACCTGTTGTTCTGGAACCAATTCCTTTAACTGTGAATGAAGATCCTGAAATGGTCCAAAAATAAGTTCTTAAGTGAATATAAGCAATGGCCATTACAAGCAAAAACTAAAAAGACCAAATGGAAAAATAGTAGTAATTCACCTTTTTTTTCAAGTCCAAATATACAACTAAATAGTAAAGAAAATAAAAAACAGTCACTTCCAGGCGTCAAATGAAGACCACTGTCCTGTCAACAGGGGCTCAAGTATGGTGCTAGTGCAGACATACAAGTAACCGTATAATGCCTATATAAATGCGTTCCTAATGAAGTGCTGATCTCTAACATATGATTTTATTCTTCATTTTTAACAAATGATGTGTGTTTCACGTACAATATAGACAATAAATTTTAAAAAAAAAAGTGGCAAAAGAAGAAAAATAATAGCTTACAAGATCAGAAGAGCTCTGCGTTTGAAGCCATCTGACAGAGTTGCTGAGACTAGATTGTTGGCTCTGCAGCATAAATAAATTCAATATTTAAGCGCTTAAAGCACACACCCTATTACAATAAAAAATTTTTTAAAAAATTGTATATGGTAAATCAGACAGTCGCATTCAACTTACAACACGGGACCGTAGCCTAGATAATGCTGATACACCCCTCAAAAACACCATTGTGCACTGCAAAAAAAAAAAATCAATTACAAATGAACAAAAGGTTTCCTTTTTTTTTTGTTTTATTTTTGTTGTCAAAAGCAATAATAATAATACTAATAAAAGATAGCAACATATATAAAACGAAGATCGATGATCAAGGACTTGATCTGTAATCAATGGCACCTGCACATAACAAACGTATAATCTGCAAAGATCTAAGAGTCTAGGGTTTCGACGTATCGTGAAGAAAGGTAGATGATGATAAACAAAATACCCAGTAATTACACGACTAAAAAAGATACGAGGAAGTTTTTGCTGCGGATTTGATGGCAGGGAGAACGTCTGGTTAGTGTGCTGATTTAAGGATTGAGGCCTATGTTCTTGTTTCTGCTGTTTTTATGGGGATATTTTTGAAAAAAAATAAAAAATTGTTTGTATTTTTAAAAAAGGTAAAGAAAAAGTTTCTGAGCTTTTTTTGAAATTTTTTTAAAACAATTTTATTTTTAAATTTATATTTAATTTATTTTTTATTTTTAAAAAATAAATAAATTAAAAAAAATCATACCAAATACTTAATTTTATGTTTCTTGGCTTATGGTTGTTGCGGGACAAAGATGGGACAAGAGGAAGAGAGTCGAACAAAAGGAAGCCTACCCGGTCAGAGAAATGCAACGGAGAAAAGAGTCCAACACGGAGATTTTGGAGACCTGGCTTTACATTCAACACTTTGAATTTGAATATATATATAAATTCGGTGTGTATAGAAGGTAAAACATATATTAGAATTGTCCTTATTATGGGATTAAGAAAATATGAGTTGAGTCAGGTTAATTCATTTTTCACATGAATCATTAAAATTTCAGTCCAACTCATTTCTTGCCAGTCCATGGATCAAGTGGGGCTAAACCACTTTTTCTTTTCAAAATAAAAATTTATTTTCATAATTTTATTTAATAAATTCTTTATTAATAAAATTATTTTATAATTAAATCTATAAATTGAATAATAATAAAAAAAATGCTGTGAATGTATTTATAATGATTCTTTTTTGTGTTTGTCAGAATTCATCTATAAGTAATGCTAGCAGAATATTTTAATTTTCAAAAAAACTAAAAAACATATTATAAACAAATAAATTACATAAATATAAATAAACAAATAAGTTACATTAAATATAAATAAAGTTTCCACCTTTAACATAAACTACAATCCATAAACATAAATACATAACCAAATAAATAAAAATTTTGACCAATTTATATCTTTCTCAATCCTCATCTTCAATTAAAACATTTACTTCAAGTAAAATATTTGAATCTTATTTGGACAAAAATGATATCTTAATATTTAAATCATTATCATCGAATATTCAGTGTAATTAAAACTATTAATTTGATAAATAAAGATTAAAGATATTGAAATATATAAAATAATCAATACCATTGGTAACTAAATTATTAATTGTATATAACTAAATGTATAAAATTATTAAATTAACTAATAAGATGGGTTGACCTATTTAAGTCCGATTTATCTCTCTTTTTAACTCCCTACCCTTCTCTCTCCTTATTCTTGTTCCTTTTTAACAACAATAGATCCTAAAACCCTAAATCCTTAATTTTAATTCTTGAACTTAATCTTTATTTCACTCTTCTTCTTAACTACTTGTTTTCTTTTCTTTAATATTTATGATTATTTATTTATAATTAACAAAAGAGACTTGACAATAAATATAAAAAAAATTCAATTACAATAATAAATCCAGTTTTTTTGAGGAAGAAATCCATTATATCAAAACAAATTCAGTATTTGTTAAGAAAGATCCAGACCCAAAAACCAAAATGGTCAAAAAAATTCAAAGTGAAATTTGAAACCATAAAAACATATAGCAAGCATATTACCAAAGAGAGTGTATTTGTTACGTACATTGGAGGCTTGCAAATCAAAGCTTGTCTCTCTTGTCTTCAGATCAGTAGTTGATTCAAATGGGTGTTTGGGGGTAAATTTCTATCGTCTCATTGCTAGGAAATCATTTCAAATGCATCATCATCGTCATCCAAGCATTTGATTGCTTCCATGTCCAAGACACAGCTTTAAATCCATATTTGCAATAACAAGGATAAAGTCGTCCTCGTGTACAAATTAGAATTAATTTATTTATTGAGTAAAATTAGAGAAGAAAGCAGAATCTTCTATAGAAAAATATTTTAATTATTCTAAACTTTCAACCTAAAGAAAAAGCTAGATTTTCTGAAGATGAATAACAAGAGAGAGGGGTTTAAGAGAAGAATGGAAGATTTCAATTTTCTCATTAATGAAGTGGTGCATTATGATGCATTAAGGAGCCGTTTGGTATGAAAGATGTAAAGTACATTACCTACAATGTGGCTTATTAAATTACATTACAGTGTTTG